TTCTTACCTGCACCCTCACGTTGAATACGCCATCCAAGCTTGGCAACCTTGGTTGAAGCGCAAGTTAGAAGTACTAGAGAAAACACAACGCAGGGACACAAAGAAGGTCAGGGGCCTACGAAATCTGTCCTATCATCAAAGGCTGAAGTCCCTGGGGGTTTTCTGTGGCTGCTGCCGAAGACTGCGCGGCGATCACATATTAGTCTACCAAATATTCAGTGACTCTAATCAGCTATGCCGTCACTTGCTGAAACACAGCCACAACACAGATCTCAGAGGTAACGCTCTGAAAGTGTGTGTAGAGTATAGCCACCTGGAATGCCGGCGGAATTATTTTTCTCTTTGGGTTTGTCAACTATGGAACCCTCTCCCATACTTCGTAGTTTTCTCTCTCAGCTTGAATACTTTCTCAAAAAGATTGGATCTTGCCCTTGGCCCCCAACACTTCGTTGCCTAAACTGTGTATCTTTGGAATATATTAATTATCCTTTCAAACCGAATTAAAAGGTTACATAAACCTAAGGGTGCGAGATAGAAGTGACTATTCCAGTTTTAACTTCTTACTTTGCTCACAAAGTACAACAACTATAACTGTCCTCATTTTGTCTCGTCATTCGCACCCAATTCTCACTTATACTACTAGTATTCAACCGCGTATCTGCTAGGTAAGCGCTGAAACAGACAACTCACCTATCTTTTAGGAATTGTAGTTTAACCCCCACCATCCTGGGGGAGTTGTCAAGCAACACTTTTTTTTACCCGACATAAATCATTGTTGATTGTTTACTTATGAGTAGAAGGATTGTTTATTGTTCTCAACTACAGGTTCAGGGCTCTAATATTGGACTGCGTAGACACACCGTTTTGGACAATTTTCCATGTGTGTAGTCTGTGGTCGCCTTAGACAAAGGTTTTGCGCAACTGGAACAAATCACATGCAAAATCCACTCAGAAATTCACAGCACAACCATGCCCCCATCTGGCCTTAGAACCACTCGCTAGTGAGAGGCGGTAGCCCAGAAGGGGAGTTGAAATGCCTATAGGTAAACACATTTTGTTTGTGTCGAAAACTCTCCGTTTATTGCAGATTTGCGTTTCACGACGGATGGCAGTAACAGAAACATACTGATTATGCAGCATCGAACACCATCACATACAATAACATTGGAAAAAGACATGATAGAACAGCACGTACCGGTAGATTTTGAAGCTTCACATATCCAAACGCAGCACAATGGTATTAAAATTATTCGAATCCTTAGGAACTAGAATTCGAGTCAGCATCTTCAAACAGTTTTTGGAACTGGTCGTCTGTCATTGGGGTGTCAGCGTAAATATCGTCATCTTTAACCACTGTTCTTGTCATTGTCGTATTCCTCAAAATTGCATCGTCCTCACTTCTGTCCATAGCATTAATGATGCAGCACTTTTTGAATGACCGTACGATAATTTCTGACGGAATATCCAGCCATAATTCTTTCACCCACCCTGCAACTGTGGCAATGTGAACCATCTCCTCATTTTCACCCTTCGTCAAGGCTAAATCAGAGGATGCCATCCATACAATCCACCTGACCCAAAGCCTATCTTTAAATAGTTTATTGAGACAGACATCTACTGGCTGCAAAATTGTTGTAAGTCCATGGGGAATTAAAGCCGCGGGCGACTTCATTTTCACCGCATCGTTTTTCCACCTTCTCAGTTCGGTGTGCCCTAAACGTATCTCAAACCAACATAATGGGGTTCTTTAAAAGGCCACCGCTTCGTTTTCCCCCAAACTGTATTCAGCCACTCTCTTCCATCCATCCTTTCGCGTGAGCCCACACAAACACGCCGCTTGGGAACTTCGCTCCTTTAGGCAGCGTCTTAGGCTTAAAAAATGAAACGTGATAAACAGGAACCATCCGCCACACACCTCAAAGCAACTGCGAACCGTGTCTTCTGTAGTCCCGTCATCTTTACAAAAACTGTGTTAGCACCTTTCTGCACCACCGTGCAATTTGGAGGCATATCAACGCACACGGGCGTTTCATCCATATTTCCTATTTGGGACTGTTCAAAGTCGTATTGCTTTATCCGCTAAATCACGAATCTTTGAAAAGATTCAACTTTACTATCCAATTCCTTCGGCAGTTTCTGGACTAGTTGTTTGCGGTTCCGTAGACACTTGTCGAATCAGTTCATAAAACAACTGCGCCATCTGGAGGAAGCAACAAAATCCACCGGTTTTGATGACCGGAATTACGGACGTTTTAACATTGTAAGCGTCCTGATCCCAATGTTCGTTCCGGTAACGATTAACCCACTGTGCCAAGACTCCATAACCCACTGCGCTAACTTTTTCTCCAGCTCAGGAGACGGCTTTCTATCGCGTGCTGCTCTCTTGCCTACCGGCATTAGTGAAAATTCCGACTTTCCATTCTTCATTCCCTCACTTGCTTTGCATTTACCGTGAAAAGGCGTGCAGCTATACAATTATACAATTATTAGATTGCCTGACAAATGCGCTAACTATCAACTTAAAGACAGCAACATATACACATTGCTTCTGTCCAGACATTTTCACGTGCCCACGGCTTTGGAGGATTGCATGAAGTGTGGGCACATCCCCTCTCAGCTGGATATTGTGACGTCGCATTAGTGTTATTTTGGTCAGCGGATCACAGCGTTAATACATTATGCTATGCTAGTCTATCTGGTGCATTAAAAGTACAACGTCGTCCCACACCACTGCTCGTTAAGTTTCTTCTTACTCGCTGCTCCACTGCGATTCAGATGCATGAGGCCCCCGACTACGCGAGGTGATGTCTGACATACCCTTTCACCTTGCCCCATATTATCGGCTGTCTTACCTGTTTCATGTGACTTGACATCTAATCATTACACTGTCCAGTACGGTTAAGATCTGTTCTGACGGCTCTGTGCCGTAGTAACTGTGATCATGACACATTAGCTCGCCAGCACTGAGCAGGCATTCAAGTGAGAACAGGGAATGATGAAGTTAAAATCGTAGCAAACTATTTCCTTACCTTTTTTGATAATTTGTTTGGGTCTTACGATTTTGGACAAATTTGTCGTTGTAAAGTCATACTATCGGCTTATGTACGGATGGGCTTATACACGGTAATATACGGTATTCGTTTTCGGTAAGCAGTCACATGATCACTCAGATATGATCAGTTATATTGCGAATTGCATCACCTCTGAAAGTAGATTGCCCAAGAAACAGTTGCGACTTTCGCAGCTCCATCGGGTTTGAGATGCAATTTGCATATCGCAAAAAGTTGTGGGGTAAATCGGTTAATGGTGCTCAATGGAACACATGTGATGTAGCTGCGGCTGAATGAGATCAACATATACGTCAGTTATTAGTAGGTTTGCGGAGTTTTATGTGCATTAATTGGGGAGAAAGGTGTAGCAGTGTTTTGGTCCAATAGTTGTTCATTGCAACTGGTTTTGTGATAACGTACCCAGAGTCCAGCTGAACTCGAATGTCCTGTTCTCTGGAATTCAGGCAATTTACACGTCTACTAAGTAGATGGCAGTTCTGATGAAACATGGAAGTTAGTAAGTTGCTTTATTGTAGCTGAATTAAAGAAGCTAATGACAAGACTGAGACAGGCGAGTACACGCAGCTGCCTCCTCTGAAGCTTCTTGCATTGGCTTCATCAGCTGTCGAATACCCATGCAACACGATGCATTCGAGGTAACATTCTAAACCCGGGTCCACGCTACCTAAAGTATGTTTTATCACAAAAGGATCATACAGGATTTTCCACTCCTTGTTGACAAGCAAACTCTTGGGTTTCTCCTTTTATCTTAGCATTGTTCAATCACACCTGGTGAGGAGAAAAGTCCGGAACGTGCTCACTATGTGGCTACCCGACCCATCCCCACTTTACGGCGGATGTCATACGTAGACTGATGCATTCGACTAGGGTTGTACCCCCTGTCGTATCGTCGGCTTTGGATTGACCTCATTGTGACGAACCGGATATTGCATCTCGGTTACTTCCACATGTTGAGGTCTCTGCTATACGTGTGCGCAGCCAGCACCACTCGCGCGCAACGATACAAGCTGGTGGTACCGGACCTAAAGTGGATAATTCACCCTGGTTACTTCGAGTATCAAAATACTGGAGAGGTTTGCCTGAGAGAATAGTTGAGGCGAAATCGGTGTCGGAGTTCCATAAATTCCTACACTCCCTCTTTTCAGATTTCAGATTAAGGGCGCGCATCCCACCCGAGTAGCATAGGGCACAGCGGTAATATGCAGGAAATGCGGCGAAATCAATGACGTGCCTCTAAGCACGTGCCCGAAGTAACTACGATGGAGCAAGACAGACTCAATTGTATTAGCTCTATATTTTCTGTATTCGCAACATTTCAAAATAGGCTGTCTTTAACCTTCTTTTGATGCCCTGATCAGTTACCTTACCAAAAATACATGTTAAAGACATCAACATTCCCTGTTTCACGGGATTCTTGTTGCCGTTTCGGATAGCTTAGCTCGTTGATAATAGTTGTTAACAGAATTTACGTGAAAGTATTTCTCAGTAGAACGCTTTCGCCACATCCACATATTTTGTCTGCGTTTCATTGAGTTTTTATCACACATGTATGAGCACACCTCTATTGTTGCCGAAATACTGACTACCAGCCATATTTGGACACATATGCTGGAAGAGGTTTTGAGCTGTGCAGACTGGGGTGCAGCTCACCGATAATACCTCCTGGGAAATGTCACCTAAAACTAGTTATTCAAAATAGCTCAGTCAGTTGAATTGGCGGCATTCGTGTCCGGAATTGCCTGTCACAATGGACTCCATAGGGACAGTCACAGGAAGCCTGCCCCTACAGAGGGACCATGGGTGGCCTGCGTTGTATCACCCACAACTCCATGCATACACTTCAGCGTATCCAAACTACCCGTAGCTTGAGTGCCAGGTGGTCTAGTAGCCTTGTCCAATAGTAACCACTGAGCAAGCAAATCAACTTACCTGGCATGAAAGCGATAAGCTTCCTAAACGGCGTCTGAATGACTTGAAATTCGCTTATGGACTGATTGCGCAATGCACTCTTCCACCGGGAGTGGCGAAGCAAAGCCATGGCACACGATCTGACAGTACAGAAGAAAAAATATAACGCATTGGCATTTCATTTCTGATGAGAAGCGGTTTTGCAATAATTGTAAATATGTTGTGTGATTAATCCCTGTATCATCTACTTCGTGTTTTCATGCGGAAGACCCACTTGACCACTGGAAGACGGCTTATTTGATAACAGGGCATTTTGCGTGCAACTTAAACGAAGTAATTAAGCATTGTAATTCAACAGTATGAAAACAGACACATAGTAAACATACAGCATTGCATACTTCATTCTTTAAATACCAGTAAGTATTTAACCTTCGGACCAAACGAAGGTAGAAAAAAATACAGAGCGGTTTAGCGGCGATCTCCTGTGATTAACAAGTCAATTACACAAATTTAGTTTCACTCTATTTATCTACAATGGAGTAACCGCATATCAGCAAGGCTTTTGGTTACAGATATTATCACCTAACCACGAGGCCATTGATAAGGACTGGTGGGCTCCAGCGCATGGCAGCTTGACAGATGCATCGCAATCACCGCTATCGTCAAACTGGATTAAATTCGCTAGATCGTACCATTATCCAGTTGCATTAACTTGTTCAGGTTGACAAGAAATCTTAACCAATTTCAGCCAAATTTTTATCCATCTCGTTGTCCTTTCACTTGGTCTAGCACATATTCTGCGATGGAATAGATTTGGTGAAAAATGCGGATTTCGCTTCAAGTACACTGTAGTCGGTTTATCTCTATCAAACGTGTTCCCACCTTCAACTTGCATGACAGAACATAGTCAGACCGTTTTTAATCGCATAACAGTATTGTGCAATCAGAAGCTATAACTATGGTAGATTTTCTTCAATTTTGTAGTGAGAAAGCTGTTTTCATACAACCACCGCTGGTGCATTTCAGATCAGCAAAGTAACAACTGAATGTAAAAGCCTCTGTTACAATCTGGCAAAAGTACACGTTGGGATGACGTACCGTCAAACACACACCGCACTTTCATGGCGCCGTGCAAGGATAGTTTGGTTTTGTGTTTTTGAAAACAGCAACTTTGCCGTGAAATATTCCCCCCACCATGATACTACATTAGTGATGAAGAGAAAAAAGCATAGCGTATGCCAGACTAACTCACTCACTGTGCAAAATAGCCCATTTACTTGAGCTGGCGCCACAAACAGGCGTGATTTGCTGTCCTACGTAGAAATACTCTACCCTAAGTAGTTTAGCTGATGGGAGCGAGTCTTGGGAGATGGTTAAATGGTAGAGAGCGAGCATTATTGTAGCGAAAATGACGGTAGGGGCGCACAGTCTTTATTGCCCACGCACAACGGATTCACAGGCTAGCACGCACACGCGCGCACGTATAGAGGAGATTTTCCGACCACCATGCACCACACATTGGCCTTCCGCTCGGCGTCCCATTCATACCCCAGCTTCAGACGGTCAGTGAAGTCGCTGCGCGTCGGTTCCCCCTCGTATCTTCGCTTCCACACGTCCTATTCTGACCGGACTGGATTCGTTCTAATGCTCCTGACTTGCTTATTCGGAGTTGCGTCGCTCTCCTCGTGGTTATTCTTGGAGGCGCAGCCAAACGCGTATCTCTCCGGAAATTCGGGCTGTTCACCAATCCGTACTGTGCTCTACTCGGCCTGGGCCTGACACCGTTTGTCGTTTGTTGTCCATTTCCTGACTGTCTCGTAGGCCACGAGCTGCTTAGTCGACTTTTGTCCCCGGTGTCTTCGTTACTTTTCATCTTCCTTAGTTTTCGCGGCCTGTCCGTTCTGCCAGTGATCCTTGCCTTCTGTGCCACTACACCCTCCCCTTCTCGAAGATCTGGCTCCTTCGTATACCAGGAGAGCTCTATTCACCCAGCGTTTCACCATCCCATCGTCAATTCTGAATTTCACTCCTTTCCTGTCGATTATGGTATAGGGACCTTTCCACCGTTGGTTGAACTTGCTCGCACCTGGTCCTCTACATACCGGTGAATCATTGTTGCACAGACTTACTTGGTCTCCCAGATTAAATAGCCTTCAGTTTCGTGTCGAATACCGTGCGTTATGGTTACGGTTATTCTGTATTTGTCGTGCCTTTGTTCCCCTTCTGGCGGTTATTTATAGTCCCCCGTGGATGTTCACACCCGCGATCCATCGCCAACCACGTATCGAGTGCAATGCTCAACCCTCTCCCAAATTGTAATTCGAAATGCGAAATCATGGTGCTTTACTGCATACTGATTCAATAAACGAGTAGTACTTCGGGTAGTGCCTCTTGCTACGAAAACTTTGTGCAGTTCATCCATGGCTGAATCATCCGATTAAACCGTTCTGTCCTCCCATTGGTTTGAGGGTGATACGGTGAAGTGTGCCGTCTCAGGATGCCCCAAGTCGCTAATGCTGCTTGGAGAGCATTTGACTCAAAGCACGGACCTTGCTCAGTGATAACACAATGCGGAATTTCGTACCGCGGCGGTACATTGAATTCGAACGTCTGTGCCACGGTTTCGCATGTCAGGTCTTTAACAGATATGGCCTCGACCCATCGAGTGAAATGATCAATTATCACAAGGATGTGAGTGTTACCTGATCGGCTCATCAGCAACAGTCCAAATACATCCAGCCCCCAGAACTGTAGCGCGACTGTTTGGGCGCATCCGCCTCCAGGCTAGTTTGTCAGTTTGGGCAGCTCCGAATATATTCTGTCACGTCCCTCCTTATGTTTGGCCAAAATACTCTTCTCCGTAACAAGTCAAAAACCCTCTCACATCCCATGTGTGCATTATCATGAACCATTCGAATTTCCCGTCTCCGTTGAGCTGATGGGATAAAGAGCAGTTTCTTTCCGTTTGGTGCCAACAGCAAACTGCCAGTTATTGCGTACAGCCGGTCCCAGATCTTCACCTCATCTGATGTTGTATCCGGCTTGGTGTCCAATTGTAAATGACTACGCAGCGACTCCAACAGTTGGTTCTTCCTTTGTATTTCGAGTAGGTTGCTCTCCTCTGCTGTGACCGCACACACCGGTATCGCTGTGTCTGGTATGATGCCGTCCAAAGACGGCTGCAATAGCATGTCAGGTTGTATATTCTGCGTCCCGTCTACGTGCCCGATGGTGAAGGTAAATTCTTGGAGTCAGTATGCCCATCGCACAACACGTCATCGCAGATCTCTCGTTGTCATCAACCATAACAGCGGTTTGTGGTCCGTCGTAAAGGGGAACTCATTCGCAAAGGCGTAGGTTCTCTACTTATCCAAGGCCCAGACCAAAGCAAGGCATCCCTTCCCCGTTGTGGAGTATTTCTGCTCGGCACTCGTCAGTCCTCTACTGGCATACTCTACTACACTCGATGGTTGGGATAGCACTGCACCAATTGCGATTTTGCTAGCATCGACTGCTATCGTAGACTTCTACTCTATACTGGGTATCCGTATGCACTTTGGGGATTCTGCCAAGCATGCCTTTAGGTCGTTAAAAGCCTCCTATGCTTCGGTTGTCCACACGAATGACTGGCCTACGGTGCAGCAGTTTCAATAATGGGTTGATGCTTTCCGTAAAACGAGGGACGAATTTCGAATCGTAGGCCCCTACTCCGAGGAAGGAAGGAAGCTGACATTTGGACTTTGGGATCGGAAAACGCTGGATCGTCTCCAGTTTCTCTGGCAGCGGCCGTATTTGACCGTTCTCCGCAATGTGACCCAAGCACACAATAGGCCTCTGGGCTATTCGTGATTTCTTGCGGCTTAGCTTCATTCCGACCTCCTCCAGTGGTTGTAGTACGGCCGCGAGCCTGCTAATATGCTCGTCTTCTGTCGCAGAGAATATAACGATATCGTCTTCCTAAACCACCACACCTTGGAGGTTTTCCAATATCATTGGTAGCAGTCGTCTGAAAGTGGCATGTGCGTTGCAGTGTCCAAATAGCATCCTTACAAATTCTTACTGCTGACCGTTCACACTGAAAGCTGTTTTGTTACGATCCTATTCCGTAATGAGTAGCTGCCAATACCCTGACCAAAGGTCAGTCAAAGAGATCCACTTTGCATTATGAAGATTGGGAAAGATTTCCTCCATCTGTGGCGTGGGGAACCGCATCTTTCACCGTCACTTTCTTTCAGCTCCCTGAAATCAATGCAGAACTGGTAGGTACAGTCCGTCTTTCTCATAAGCAACACTAGTGAGGAATACGGGCTGTTCGCATACCTGATAATCTCTCTCGCCTCCATCTCTGCAACATATTTCTGTACCTCAGGTAGGATTTTTAGTGGTATTCTCCGGAATATTGGTTTGCTTCAACACACTGGGACTAGCGGTATCCGGTGTTCCATCCAGTTACAGAACCCGTATTCGTCATTTGCGTCGGTGAACAAATGCGCATACCTCTCCAACTTGTCCCTTATTGCACGACTTGGGCAATCAGGCAGAATATTTACGGCACACACTTGGCTGGTTCTTCCTGCGTTAAGGCTGATTGTCTCGCTGCCCAGGATTATCACGTCCTTTCCCAGATCGATTCTAGCGCCTAGTCGCTTGAGGATATCGTTGCCGAGTATCGTTTCCGTTGCCCCATCCACAACGAACATCGAATGGCTGATGCATGTCTCTCCTATTCTCAATTGCAACCGTTGTACACCTGTTACGTTTAACTGGTGGCCCCCGACCGTCTGCATCGAGACTGACGATTGATCTAATGGAACCCATCGAATTTTTTCGTAATTGACGCTCCTGCCCCTGTATCTACCACCACCCGGACTAACACCCACTGAATACTGACCTCTAGAACTGACACTCTCCACTTACCAGGTATGAATAAGGAAAAACAGTAAGAAAGTCTGCTTTCAGTACAGTATCTGGCCACATGGCCTATGCCGTTGCATCGAACAGCGGCAGCCATGTCGGTTACCGTATTCTTTACGTTGTGCATCCATCCTCGACATTAGCTTATGCACCATCTCTGTCAATTGGTCAACCTTGCGTTCCATTTCCGACGGATGGATTCTTCCTATGGTCACTGGCTCCAAAA